AGCTGTGTGTACGTGTGTGTGTGTGTGTAGCTGTGTGTACGTGTGTGTGTGTGTAGCTGTGTGTACGGGTGTGTGTGTGTGTAGCTGAGTGTACGTGTGTGTGTAGCTGAGTGTACGTGTGTGTGTGTGTAGCTGAGTGTACGTGTGTGTGTGTGTAGCTGAGTGTACGTGTGTGTGTGTGTAGCTGAGTGTACGTGTGTGTGTGTGTGTAGCTGTGTGTACGTGTGTGTGTGTGTGTAGCTGTGTGTACGTGTGTGTGTAGCTGTGTGTACGTGTGTGTGTAGCTAAGTGTGTGTGTGTGTAGCTGAGTGTGTGTGTGTAGCTGTGTGTACCTGTGTGTGTGTGTGTATAGCTGAGTGTACGTGTGTGTGTAGCTGTGTGTATGTGTGTGTGTGTTTAGCTGTGTGTGTGTGTGTGTAGCTGTGTGTACGTGTGTGTGTGTGTGTGTAGCTGAGTGTACGTGTGTGTGTGTAGCTGTGTGTACGTGTGTGTGTGTAGCTGTGTGTACGTGTGTGTGTGTGTAGCTGAGTGTACGTGTGTGTGTAGCTGTGTGTACGTGTGTGTGTGTAGCTGAGTGTGTGTGTGTATAGCTGAGTGTACGTGTGTGTGTGTAGCTGTGTGTACGTGTGTGTGTGTATAGCTGAGTGTACGTGTGTGTGTGTAGCTGTGTGTATGTGTGTGTGTGTTTAGCTGTGTGTGTGTGTAGCTGAGTGTACGTGTGTGTGTGTAGCTGTGGGGAGCAATAGTGTAGCGGTTAGCGCGCTGCGCTATGAACCTGGCGACCCGGGTTCGATTCCCGCTCACGGCCAACACCAGTGACGATTATCTGAACCGGTCCTGGGCCTCCCCTAGGTCGACTCAGCCTTAAATGAGTACCTGGTGCGGTGTGTAAACGTCGCCACTGGGGAGACAAAGGCGGTCGGGCGTGGTGCTGGCCACCCACCCCCTCGTGTGCCGTTCTGGCCTTCATAGGTGCTCGCTAACAGCACTTGACCCTACAGTCTGTTAAGGCTATACGGGGATCTTTGTAGCTGAGTGTACGTGTAGCTGTGTGTACGTGTGTGTGTGTAGCTGTGTGTGTAGCTGTGTGTACGTGTGTGTGTGTAGCTGTGTGTACGTGTGTGTGTGTAGCTGTGTGTACGTGTGTGTGTGTAGCTGTGTGTACGTGTGTGTGTGTAGCTGTGTGTACGTGTGTGTGTGTGTAGCTGTGTGTACGTGTGTGTGTGTGTAGCTGTGTGTACGTGTGTGTGTAGCTGTGTGTACGTGTGTGTGTGTAGTGTGTTAGTGTGTGTGTGTAGCTGTGTGTACGGTGTGTGTGTGTAGCTGTGTGTACGTGTGTGTGTGTGTAGCTGTGTGTACGTGTGTGTGTGTAGCTGTGTGTAGTGTGTGTGTAGCTGTGTGTACGTGTGTGTGTGTAGCTGTGTGTACGTGTGTGTGTGTGTAGCTGTGTGTCGTGTGTGTGTGTTGTGTGTGTGTGTAGCTGTGTGTACGTGTGTAGCTGTGTGTACGTGTAGCTGTGTGTACGTGTGTAGCTGGTGGTGTGTAGCTGTGTAGCTGTGTGTGTGTGTAGCTGTGTGTGTAGCTGTGTAGCTGTGTGTGTGTGGTGTGTGTACGTGTGTACGTGTGTGTGTGTAGTGTGTAGTGTGTGTGTAGCTGTGTGTGTGTAGCTGTGTGTACTGTGTGTGTGTTAAACACACGGCACTCTTCCTCTTGGCGTTGCAGCTCTCTTCACTGCTGGTTGAGTTGGCGTGATGCTCGCCGTCGGCGGTGTGCGATGATTCCGTCATCAGATAGCGCGCGCAGCTTGTCTGATGGTCGCCGCTCCTCACTCTGGCATTGGTTCCCAGCTGGTGCTGGTCGGTGTGTATGTGGGTCGAACCCACGGCGCTCTCGCTGGCGCTGACACTCTTGCTCATGGGCGGCTGGTCAGGCTCTTTCCACTGCTCCGTGCTCTCTCCTTGATCGTGCAGCTGCCAGCTTCACACGGACACCTGCCCTTACTTCAGGGCTTGCGCTGGCTCAGGCTCTTTCCACTGCTCCGTGCTCTCTCCTTTCTCTCTCCTTGCTTTCGCCCTTGGCGTGCAGCTGCCAGTTTTGCACTGGCATTGTGTTACCTCTCCCGCCCTCACTTCGGGGCTTCGCCTTGTCGTTGCTCAACTTTCGTGCTCTCCACCCTTCTTCTAAGAGGGCTGCTGCTGTGAGCTGCTCGTCGCTGGCTGGATCACTTACTCTCAAAACTTGTAAATTGTATTAGCACACCTCTTACGCAACTCTGATAGCTTGGTACAATACAACTTATCGCAAACCCTCGATTCCACAAGCGACTCAAAACATCAGGATGAATGTAGAATAAACTTTCAGCGATACTCTGTCAGTTCATACCGAACTCAGCTCTTAACAACACATCGTCCCTTCGCTCCACGAGACACGACACCCATGGTTGATCTCGAGGCCATGCCCCGGAGTTTGCCCCTTTGCAAGACTGAATTGCATGATCTGTGTCGTTGGTTATATCTGAAATTCCCTCCCCTCTCTGTGCGTCTCTTGCGAGAGAAAAAAAACAGATGCCCTCTGTCACCGTCCTCTCTCCGCCGGCCGCGCCTGAATGCCCCCCCCCCTTCCCTTGATGACCCCGGATGGGCTGTTTTCCGTCTAAGTTTATGCTTGTTGGCATCCCCCCCCCCTTCGTTGTGTTTGTTAGCTCAAGGCCAGACACCCTTCATACGTAATTGTGGCTGCCATGTGTTTTGTGTCAAATTGTTGGAAGACAAAGGTGGCCGGGGAGGCTTTGATTCCATGGAATACATATTATCCGGTCTTGTGTGTGTTGGACCTATTTCTTGTACCTCTTATGAGTTACCCCGGGTCTAATATCTCGTGGTTATTATTTGGTTCATGTTTAACCAAGAACCAAGATTCGTAATGCCCCTCGTTGTTACCATTATTCCGAGGGTTTTGCCAAGCTTTGTTGTAAGTCTGTGTCACCAGGGATCGGTGTTTTATTTTGAGTTATATTTTGATATCCCGAGGCTGGAGATATAACCAAGCGCTCACTTTCTTGTCTACCAGAATGCACATTCCTTGGTTCTCTTGGTGAAGTTACATGGATAGAAAGATACAATACAAAATGATATACGAGTTGAATAAGGGTGAAATAAAATAAATAATAAACAGGACCCTGCGGGGTGGGCTGGTAGGAACGAATATCAAAGAATATAAACATAATGTATTATTACACTTGTTTAGCCAGGAAAGCCCCACTGGAGGTTTTTGTAGGGTCCTGCCAAGTGTTTGCAGTAGGGGGCGATGTTGCTACACCTAATCGGACGATACGAAGGGAGAATTTGAGGCCTATTTCTAGGCTTTAGGCCTAGCTGTAGGCTTTAGGTCGCTGTGAGTTAATATTTAATTTAAATGTTTTAATTATTAATGTAAAAGCTTGAAATTTAAATGTTTCTATTTTAAAAAATCA